TCAACTGGCTTGCCGTTCAGTAAAATATTGATTTTAACCAGATCGGCCTGGCTGTATCCAGTTTCTTCGTAGTCAAAGCTGATGGCAGATATTGTGTGCCTCAATATGAGATTCTGTTGCAAACATTGAGCGTCAGCCTCAAAAGCGAGACTTACCTGGCGTATCCTGAGCTTCTCGACTTCAGCTGGTCATAAAATTCGGTCAAAATTTCCGACATGGGAAGTGTGTATTTCATCATCACCCTGCGAAAATCATTGAATTCGTCCGTCTAGGTGAGTAAATGCGCAGAGAAAGGATCTTACCGGTTGTCATCGATGTACGTGTAGTCTTGTAGTTCTCCACGGTGATTCTGGAAGAGCCCATATATCACAAAAATGTTAAACGTTCAAGATAACTGAAAAAAACTTACACCGCACAACTCCATCAAGCCCCCAAGGTATTCCGCCGGAAAAATCAATGTGCCGGACACCATGGGCTCGCAGAACTCGGCAACTTGACCTCGGTCATCAGCTTCGGGAAATGCTGCCGGGTTCATGACCACCTTTTCGGTTCCGTTGTTATACTTAACAAGATACGGGACTGTTGGTGCCGTACTAAGAACCTCAGAGTCATGCTCTTCCTCAAGGCGCTGCTTGAACACGTCCATATGCAACGTTCCCAAGAATCCCAGCCGAAACCCTTGGCCCAAGGCAGCACTGGTCTCACGCGCAACGGTCACCGACGAATCGTTTAGAGTCAATCTATCCAGCGCTTCCTCCAGCTTTACAAAATCTGCAGTGTCCATGGGATACATTCCTGCAAACACCATGCTCTTCGCAGGCTGGAAGCCCGGGAAAGGCTCACATGGTTGATTTTCGTGGTGGAAAGTGTCGCCAATATGAGCATCGCGTGTTGTTTTCATGCCCAATATGACATAGCCCACTTGGCCGGCATAAAGCGCGTCCGTACTCGTTTGCTCGGGATACATGAGGCCCAAGTCGTTTACTTCGTACCTCAGTTGTGAATGAGCAGAAATAACTTTGTCACCTACCCGCCCACGCACCCGATGTAAGTTGGAGGTGGCACGCGGTGCACAAATTTTGGGCATACTAACCTTTTTTCAGCCGCCCATCTTTTACCGCCACCAAACAGACTACGCCGACATATTTATCATACCAGGTATCGAATAGTAAAGCCCGGAAAGGCGCGTTGCGATCGCTTGAAGGGGGCGGGATTTCTTCGATGATACGGGGAAGGATTTGGTCTACCCCGATTCCACTTTTCGCAGAGATTGCAATGACACTCGATGTGTCGACTTCAAATGCTGTCTCTATTTGCTGGGCTATCTTCTCTGGATCAGCCGCCGGAAGGTCTATCTGATGGACAAACAGAACGCACAGATCATCTTCAGCATTCTTAAGTGCACTCCAGAGTCTCCCGATTTCATACGGACCTTATTGAGAACGGGCACAATTGTGAGTCCCTCTCCAAATGCCAGGAAAAAGTTTGCAACCGTTTGCGCCTGAATACCCTGACTAGCGTCGACAAGCAATATAGTGCTATAACCATCCCGCCCTGGTCAGGTGCCTGCCCTGGTATACAACCAGCAGGCAATAAATAAGAAACTTACCCCTGACAAGCGGCAAGTGATCGAGACACTTCGTAACTGAAGTCTACGTGCCCCGGTGTATCGATCAAATTCAGCAAATATTCCTTCCCTTCATATGTGTAAAACATGGATGCCGTCTAAACACAAATATCAGTCGACTGGATGGCTGACGATATTCAACAGGTTCACGTGCCTGAGCTTTGACTGATGAAACACAATAATTGAATTTGTCAAAAGCCATTTAACCCAGTCGACCCAAAGCATGTTACTCGCACCTGTGATGCCCCGTTCCCTTTCCACTTTTAACTTATCGAGCACTTGCTTGTTCGCGGAATCTTTGGTGATTGTTCCTAGCATACGTAGAGGGGACGTACAAGATGAGGCGATGTAGAGCACCACCCAACTCTCTCCCGCCTGACATCATCCGTCATCTACCTGTCATTTCCAACAACCGATCAGCGAGAGTACTCTTCCCATGATCTGTTCGAGGAGAATTAGATGTGCGCCAATGGGCAATCAATCGTATAAACCCTCGTTGTGCTCACCTATATGCGCAATAATACTGAAATTGCGTATATTTTCGGGCGGGAAGTCTTTTAGATCCAATGCCTCTGATTTCTGAATTTTCGACGCTTTCTGGTTTGAGGAGACGCGTTGGGTCAGCGGTTAGATCAAGCGATCACATTTTAGTAGCATTTATGGCACTTACTGAAGAGTAGGCATGTCTTCCTATCCACGGTATGGCTGTCCTCCGTGCGCGGGTGGGCGGGACGAGACTACTCTTTCCCTCCAGTCTGGAGCGACATTGGTTGCAAATAAAGCGAGTTCCACCTAAACGGCCAACAGGTAGGGTCTGTATCTTCTTAGCGGCAGGCAATATTGACCGGAATTGAACGTGTACATTCATCGGAAAGGCCTTGTGAAGACGAAACGCGTGTCAACAAAAAACAAGCTGTTCCCAGCTTAATTAATTAATTTTGAACTCCGACATCGGGGACGCGCGGTTTACATCATTGAGCCGTACTCTGTACTTCAAACAGACATTTTTGCGGGGTACTGGTACATCTCTTTTCATCTATTCATATCAGCAAATCTTCATAACTGTGAAGTAAACGTACATAAGCAGTCATTTTTCATCCCCCCACTTCCACTTCAAATCCCTCTGGATACCCTCGCAATTTTGTTTTGGCAGCGGCTTTGTAGAGGTACTTTGGGTTGTTTGCGCGCCCATTATTTTAAAGGTTGTGGACTGTTCAACAGCTGGAGAGGGGTAAACGATGAATGCATATTAGCACAAATTCTCATACATTGGACGAACGGTTAAACGATTTTTACGCACAGACTGGCTCCCCAAAGAACTTGGACCCATCCAAGGTACGCACAGCCAGAGCCCCGTCCACCGAAAGTTTCAGATGTACGAATGCAAACCATCCCGCGTGTCCGTCTCGAGGGATAATGGAAATACTACCAGTTGGAAAGCCACTGAAGAAGGCTCGCAGGCGAGTAACGGTGATTGCTTTAGGCAGGCCTCGGACGATTAATGTCCGGCCAGGGGTTTGTTTTGGGCTCGCGACTGGGTCAACGGGGCGAGAAGGGGCTGGGGTAACTGGGGCTGTACCATTTTGTGCGCCAGTGTGTCCCCCAGCACCAGAAACCTTATTTGGTCCTCCTTCCCCATTGACGCTCGAGATGCTGGCCCACCGTGCCATGGTTGCCTTAGCGCGCTGACGTCTCTTCTTTGCTTTCGATAAGGATGCAGATGCGGGCGCGGAAATTGAAGTGGACGACGGACGCATGGGCGGTGGCTTGAGGGTTGAGCTGTCCGCGGATGTATGTGACAGCGCGGAGGCGGACCTAGATGCCGTACGCACTGACGCTGGAGCGGGAGTGGAAATGTTCGTGGGTAAGCCACTCGACGTTGCTGTATCCTTGCCCGAACCAAGGCAAATGGAGTGCATCTCCTCAGAAACGCCGCATGGATCTGATAGCACAGAAAGGGTATCGGCAAGCGTAAGATTAGAGTCGCAGGGGGAGGTGCATCCCGCTGGAGTGCGTGGCGCATCATTTTCTGTTGACGACTTTGGGAGTATGTCTCCCGGATGTGTAATATCGTCGCTGGTAAATTCGGAGCACAATGTAGTTGTGCCGCCGTCCAGCCCTTGCAATCCGTCAGCGGGCACATTCGCGGGAACGTCTGTGTCGCTGCGCATCTGTTCGGCGTGCGACTTTGCCCCGGCCTCTCCCTGTTCTATCCACCACTGGCGCATATCCGAGGAGAGTGCATTGGCTACGGATGTGAGAATGCTTCTAGCATTTGTCACTGAAAAGTTGTCGTGAAGCGCCGTTAGAAACGGCGAAGCGTTTGAATACGAATGCAAACAAATTACCATCCAAAGAGGTCTGAACAGGACCGGAGGGTATCCTGGACCTGAAGATTCCCGGTATTGTCTGAGATAGGCCATATCTACTTGCCGAAAGGGTCTATGTAGCTGTTCAATACCTCTCTTGACAACTGATCCCAACGTGTTCCATCCTAACTTGGCTGTCGGCGCTTTTTGGAATGGCCGGCTAAAAAATCACAAAATCAGATACGAATTGCCCTACTGGGTTTTTCAGATCTCCATCATGCATACCACGCTTTCCAATGTTTTCGGATGTGGTAGGTATAGGAAGTCGAAACACTCCTCGCAGCATTGTTCGGAAATGGTTTCGTCGACGAACTTTTCGGCGGCCGAAGCAAACGGCAGTTCAAAATAGGCAGCGTCATCTTCAACCTCCTCCTGAAGGTGCGGGGCCGTTGCCGTGGTTTGTACTCCCGCATCCACTACTTCCCATGCTCCACTCCCCACCCCAACCTCCACCGAGCCCTTCTTTCCTTGCTCTTGACAGACATCCGCCAATTCTGCACTGTTCGTGCATGACTCGCCCACCGACACACCGTTTGCACACCCGGACCCGTCATCGGTCCCGACACCGATAGTGGCAGTCGCGGGGGCAATCAGCTTGCGGCCTAGGTTCACAAGAAACATGTATTGCGTGTCGGAGGGTGATAACTTGGAGTGATGAAATAGAATGCCCAGAGTGAGATGGGGAGCACGGCAAGGTCAATCACGCGATCGACTCGGAAATTAATAGACTGCGATGTTATGACGCCGGGCAATGGTGAATAATCGACTGAACATCTGGATTCGGCAATGGCGACACTCCAGGACTTTTGAAGCTGGTCAAGTTCATGGCGGCCCGGGTAGTCGGGGATACGCTAAATTTACGAGCCAGAAACGTTCTACACATGGATATACCAGGGATACCCTTAGGTGCGGTTTGCAGGTATCCAATCGCGTATCAAAAAACTGAATCGTTCGGGCCACCTGGAAGAGTTGTGAATATGCTCTGACTGGACTTTGACATCGACGGGCGGGTGGCCTAATGGAGAAGGCGTTCGACTTCGGTTCACGTTCCAGGACGTGGGCAGACATCGAAAGATTGTGGGTTCGAGTCCCATCCTGCTCGCTTTAAATGTTTTTTTTCTTTGTCCTGTTACACTTCAATATCAGAGTCCGCAACAGACTGATGGATGCGCTGGAACATTCCCTTCGTGCGGGAAAGTGGTTGTCTTTCAAGCTTGTCGGCTCTCCATGCATTTTGGCATCGTCCAACTTTACGTAAACAAGCCGTCTGCCCATTTTGGGGTTGATTGGATGCTGGAGTTATTCTGTCCCCGCTCCACTCACCCACCACTCGCGCTCCAGCTCTTCACCAATCCTTGTAGTGCCATGAGCGAAGACAATAGTCAACCGAAGCGGAAAGCGATGTTTCGCATACCCTCTATTTCAGAAATGGAGGAACGACAAAGGGAGCGTCGTGCTCAGGCTGATAGTGTGTCCTTCAAACCATCTGGCGCGGCAGCGGAAATGTCCTCTGTCCCTCTCCGAACAGCGGGTGTGGTCACACCCTTTCAAAATTCGTCTCCGCGAACTGTCAGTCAACAAGTTGTTGCACCAAAGGATGCTTCTTTGGGAGTACCGACGCAGGCTGCTATGGGGACGGCAACGTCGAGGCAAGGAAGGGAAAGCGGCGCGGCGGCGCAACAACGAGCCACAACCTCCAATACACCACCGCCAACTGTAACTTCTGGGCTTACTGGGGCTGGACAGCCCAGTGCATCTAGATCGAGGGGACCAAATTGCATCGTAGTGAATAAATGTCAGGTGCGATCGCAGCCCAATCAGCCTTATTGTGGATTTTTCATTGACCACCAAAGCAGAAAGGAAATGGGGTCCTCAATCACATTAGAAACGTTCCATGGGAATACGGTGAAATAATTCCCGATTACCAAGTCGGACAGACCAGTTGTGCGTTGTTCCTGAGGTTTGCATATTGTACATTTTGCCAAGTATATTGAGCAGGGGAGCCTCATCGATTGATGTAACCAGCCTCAAATACCACCGACTGCACCCGGAATACATTCATACCCGAATAAAACAGCTTGGACATCACTATCTGCTTCGTATCCTTCTTTGTCTTGTGGATATCGTAAGATTCATAGACTGTGGTTCACCCTCCTCTGCCTCACGGGGACTGACTTCGTCGCTCGTCACCACAGGATGATCATCAACAGAGCATCAGAGACCTTACACGAACGTGCATGTACAGTAAAGTCACCCTGATACTAGCGTGGAGGTGCGTCAATGTTTGAGTTGGTTGGCCAACGCAGTGGTATTAATGCCAGCTACGTTGCAGCCAGGAAGAGGCGGGCCGGTATCTGGAAACTTTCAAAGCGTATGAGCATAAACCTCCTGATATGATTAAGGAACGTGTGGATGCCGACTATCTCTCAAAGGTGCGATGGATAACCGGTTGCGCACTCAAGAGTCACAGACATTAATCGTCGCTTCGTTGCTTCAAACGCTCAGCTGACGGATGCACTAACCCAAGTCAAGTCAGTGAATAAAACGGATGTGGTAACGCTGGCGTCAACATTTGGGGTGAGTCTTTGTCCTCATCTACGGGCATGTTTCACATTCCTGATCAAGCAATGCAGTCATTGAAAGACATCATATCAGCTAAACCAGAGGAGCTGGCTCTGTGCCCAGGGTTCGGCGAGCAGAAAGTGCGCAGGCTCCACGAGGCGTTCAACCAACCATTCATTCTCAATAAGAAGCGAAGAACTGGATAATGCCACACCCCCTCTGATCTTGTTCCAATTTCCGTGTGCCAAACCATACCAAACCATCATCGTCATCGTTTCTCCATGCTTTCCAAAGAAATCTCCAGACCACAAAACAGTCACAACAAGAATGCCCTAGAACGCAAGCTAATGGATTTATTATACAAGAATCGCCCCTAAACGCTATCGAAGACCGGGATCTGAAAACAAGCAGAAGCAAGATTAGGGTTAGCCCACGAACATTCAAGCATCAGTGAAAGGGGATGACAATGAAAAACTTACGTCCTTGTAATCCTTGCCACCGGGAACAACCTTCTTTCCCTTGTCCTCCCCAGCCTCCCCGTGCAGCTCAAGGAGCTTGCCCAAATCAAACTTGGGTGCCTTGAGAATCTTTACTTTGCGGACGTAGACGTGCTGGAGGGGGTAGATGCCTTGGCAAGCCTTCTCGATCTCCTTGCCAATCACCTCAGGGACGAACTTCAACACAAGCTCCTTCAAGTCGCAAGAAGAGGCCTCACGGGTCATAATCTCGAACATCTTCTTGCGAATGGCCTTAATTTGGGCGTGGGTAGCGTATGTCGTCTTACGGAGCTGGTTCTTCCGGCGTTGAGTGAACGCAATGGTGAACAAGCGGAGAAGGTAGCCGTCGGTAGTCTTGACATCCACGAACGCCTCAATCAGAGACTATTTGGGCAGATCCTGTCAGACGCAGCACAACGGGAAGTGCGAAGCAGTAAATGTTGGACGCACCTGCCACTTCTTGACAAGAGATCGGAGCTTGTCCGAAGTGAAGTCCATGCCGTGGAAGTTGGTAAGGCAGTTCTTCCCTTGAATTTCGTGAACCTGGAGCTTGATCTTCCGGAAGGAGTCCTCCTGGTTGTTGTTCAAGTCGGCAAGCGACACCTCAACGACACGGTTCTTGAGGTACTCGTTGGCATTCTCTGCGCGCCAATACAAAATCATTTTTCCTCCGTCAGTTGCCCAGCCCCAACATCAACCGATCACGCCCAAGCGCTATGACACTCACTCAAACCCTGGGTGCGGTTGACGAGAGTCTTGCCAACATTGCGGACCTCGAAGAAGGAGGGAGCCTTGATGTCGTACCAGTCCTTCCGCTAAATGACGGGAAGTTGCGCGTTGTTAAACTGACGTCCAAATCAACCACAGTCAAGAGCTGACTTACGGTGAAGGGGTCCACGCTGGTAGGCAGAAATGCAACGAATCGTGGAATGAAAGGTCAGTTCATCTTGACCAAACAGCCTAAGTAGCATGCAAGCCCACACTCATCACAAATTCTCCGCGACACCTCCGTTTCCTCTGCGCCGACGACAGCGCCTCCCAACAGTCAAAGATCACCACATGGAGAGTGCCGATGCTCTGAATTCCGACAGCAGAATTCCTCGTGCTCCACCCCACTGCCAATATCGTCCACCAATCTCTCCCCCCGCCACCGGTCCTCCAATGTCCGCCTGTGTCGGGCCGCATTCCAAATTCCATCATTCCGTCCCACATCACAGGTCCTCATCCATCCATCCATCCATCCCTCCCGCCATCCGCCGCTCCGATCCATCTATCCCATCTCCACTCGTTCCGATACGTACGTCTTCTTCTTAAGACCCTTCTTTCCCTTGGAGAGCCGCCTAATGGGAGCAAGGGTGGGTTAAGGACCGATTCAACACGAACACCAATGCATCACGACTGTGGCCAGTTAATAACTGCCAACACCGCAACAGCCCAACACCAACAAAAGAACTGTCGCTTCTTGCGTCCAGGTTCAGTCCAACTTACTTGTTTTTGCCGACAGCCATGCTTGCGTATTGAGATTGCGGGCTGTATGGACAATATCGAAAGGAGGGCTCAACTGTTGCAGCAGGCCCACCACAAAACCCCCGCCCAACGTGTGGCGCAGTCCAAAAATATTGTGACTTTGATGATTGGCCAAAGCCCCACAAGCCCAGACCCAAGCCGCTGAAGCCGTGTACGTCTAATCAAACCACCACGACGGGTTCTCCCCCTTTTCCCCCCAAAATCCCACATCTCAGCATTCAGGTGGGTCGGCAACCGCATCAACACCTAAAGGTCCAACGTTGGTCACTAAATTGTACGTGTACTGCTTCCAAACTACGCAGTGGTTGCTTACTTGGCCAGACCCATCCCCAGTCACATCCCCTGGCCACGGATTCGCCATTTTGCTCTCAAGCGTTGCGGTGCCATTTTGGCAAAAGTGTAAACCGCGGAAAGTGGTTCCTGTGCGTGCCAGAGCCCGGCACGTCTCAATATTTTCCATTTGCGTATGATAGATGGGGAGTGAAGACCGGGGGCCTCCTCGTGGCACTCCCTGGGCAACAGATCCACCTCTAAAAGGAGGTGGATCTGGCTAATACCCGGTCAAATTGGGACGTTGGGTGTCAATAGTATTAAATAATACATATTATCTATTTTAAAAACAATTTAATGTGTTGGCTTTGTTTCGCTTCCTCCTTGGCAGCCCGTGGTTTAGAGGGAAGTCGTCAATTTTTATTTCATTTCATTTCATTCAGTGGCCGGCTGCAATGGGAAAATCCTATCGCCAAGATGTGGATATTGGACGAAATAAGCGAAGTGGACGTAGCAGATATGCCACATGAGAAGATTTCAGGCAGGATCCAATTTATGAATATTACGTATGGGGCACCACTCTTAAGGTTTTGGATCAATGACGATCTGGAACACCAAACATTGGTCTATGGAGCTTTCCGATTATTTGATGCGTATCTGTCTGCTTTGTACTATGTTACGGACTTGTTGCAAAGCAGCGGATTGGCCGGAATTGCAACTGTTGATGGAAGAAAGCTTGGCGGGGGACTCCTTTTGGGGGACCACCCGTTGCCTCAGAAATGGGGGACGGATCTTGCGACAATTGACACTCCCATAACAAAGTGGCTCGGGCCTCCGCAAATGAGCTGAGACATGTTTAGATGAACAGTTATTATCATCGTTGAGTTTACAGACGTGAGTGTTTCAACTGGCAGGGATCTCATTTTTTCTTGTCTGATTTTTCGTACGTGTAAAATCCTCTTTTGGACTTCTTTCCTGCAAATCGCAGTGGTTAAGAACGTTATAGCGCAATGTTACTCGCACTGGCAACGTACCAAGCCACCCTGCATCCACATATTTGACAAGCAGAGGACTGGGTCGGTATTTATCGTCACCCAACTGAGTGTGCAGGACTCGCATGATTGCAAGGCACGTATCGAGACCGATGAAGTCCGCCAATGTCAGGGGCCCCATTGGTGTGTTGGTGCCAAGTTTCATAGTTGCGTCTATGTCCTCCCGTGTGGCGATTCCCTGGAAAGTGGCATTA